CAACAAGACAGAAAATGGTGGATGCTGGTGACGATGTGGAGAGATTAGGATTCTCATATACTGCTGGTGGGACTGTCAAATGATACATCCGGTGTGGAAGACGGTATGGCGTTTCCTTAAAAAGCTGGAATTCAAGATACCATTTGACCCAGTAATCCCATTACTAGGTATATATCCTTAAAGAAGTGAGAACCAGGACAAGAATAGATATATGCACACCCATGTTCATTGCAGTACCATTTACAATAGCAAAAAGATGGAAACAACGTACATGCACATCAGCAGAAGAATGGATAACCAAACTGTCATACATACACACAATGGAATACTATTCAATCCTGAAGAATAACGTAGAATCTGCAAAACATGAATGAACTTGGAGGACATTATGCTGAGTGAAAAGTTAATCACAGATGGGCAAATATAGTATTAGTTTATTATTGTAAAAAGTCGAGAAAAGGTTTACATAAGGAAGGGAACTTTCTTTGTTGGTTAGCAGGGATAGGAGGGGAGAGGAGAGAGAAAAAAAAAAGATGCATTGACCCATGTCACTTTAGTTTTGTGTATTTTATTGTACATAAATTATATTTCAATAAAATGCATTTTAAAAAATATTGTTTGTCTTTGGGTTTGATGAGTTTGATGATAATGTGTCTTGGTGATTTTCTTTTGGGGTCTATCTTGTTTGGGGTTCGTTGAACTTCTTGAATGAATATACTCTCTTTCATCATATAAGGGAAATTCTCTTCCAACAAGTCTTTGACAATTTTCTCTGTGGTTTTATCTGTCTCTTCCTGTTGTGGAATTCTGATTACTGTAGGTTATACCTCTCAGTGGTATCACATATGAATCTTAGGCTTTCTTCTTTATGTTTTGATCCTTCGTCTGATTGCTCCCTTAACAAAGTAGTATAGAAGTATTTGTCTTCAATCTTACTAATTCTGTCTTCCATTGATTCAATTCTACTCTTTGCTCATTCAGTGTTACCTTTTTCTGAAATCTTTGTATTAATCTTCTGGATTTCTGTGGTGTTTTAGTATTATTTCTAATTTTTTGTTTCTTTTGCCAATTTGTTCTTATATCATTTTCCTAAATTGTTCTAGTTTTGTCTGTGTTTTCCTTAATTTTTTCCATGTTTGTCTTGATCTTGTCAGTGTTTTCCTTGATCTGTCTCTCAATTAATTGAAGGTACCCAAATATAATTCCTTTGAATTCCTTACCAGGGAGTTCCAATGCTGCTTCTTCCTCAGGCATGTTTTCTGGGTTTGTATCCTTGTCCATTGTTTCTACTGTCTTGCTTTTTTGTGTGGACTGTGATGGTCTGTTGTCTCTGAGACATTGTGCTGTTGTATTTATGTTTGGTTTGTGGTTGCATGTTGGTATGATTCTCACAAAATATTTTTTTTCCATTAATTTGTTTTGATATATCTGTTTGAGCAGGGTACTGTACTTCTCTATTCAGTAGTTGTTAGCACTTAGGCACTCACCACCTGTGTCCTGGTGGGTGTGAGAGAGAATGAGGGTGTGTTCACAGGTCTTTCTTAGCTGTTTGTGAAGTGTTGAGGGTGATTTCAGCTGGTATTGGCTCTCGTGTCATTTTTCTGTTGGTTCAAAAGCAAGTCGTGGTCTTCACTCAGTGGGTAGAGCTACAGGAGGTGCAGGTATGGTTGGGCTGTGGAAATAATTTCTCTCTCTCACTCTATTACACACACAAAAAAAAAAATCAAAAAAACAAAAACAAGAGAACAAAAACCTCAAACTGCATAAACAGGAACGATCTTAAAAAAAAGCAATAAATGAAGAAAATTTTCTAAGTATGTTTCTAAAAGGATGAAGGAAATATAATTAGAAAAAGCTGAGGGGTGGGGGAAGCAACAATATCTGGAAAGGGACAAATAAGAGAAAAGAACAAGAGTAAAAGAATGGTAAAGAAAAATATGGGGAAAATAATAGCAAAAAGATGGAAACAACGCAGGTACCCATCAACAGAAAAATAGATAACCAAACTGTGGTACATACACACAATGGAATACTATGCAACCCTAAAGAATAATGTAGAATCTGCAAAAAGCTCTGCGTAACATGGATGAACTTGGAGTGCATTATGTTGATGTGATTGACTTACACAAATAAGTTAATCACAGAAGGACAAATATTGTGTTAGTCTGTTATTGTAAAAAGTCAAGGAAAGGTTTATATATGAAAGGAAATTTTTTTTTGTTGGTTACCAGGGGTGGGAGGGGAAGGGTGGGAGCACTGCTAGATAGGTAAAGACAAGTACTGATTTGGGTGAAGGGAAGGGCAATGTACCAAATATGAGTGATCAACATGATGGCATTGAGAAAGAGAAAAACAGAGAGAGGTGCATGGGAGGTACAGACAACACAGATGAACCCTTTTGTATATACATTACTGCATTGTCAGTGATGGCAAATATTGATCTACAAGTGGATAGATGGATGGACAAGCTGAACGATCAGGAATATCTATGCATGGGGGACCCATAACCATGTATAGGGTTAGCAGTCAATGTTTCTACAAGTGTATTTGTATATTCTGTAAGAATTTCTAGTTATATTTTAGATCTGACAAGGGACGAGGTTGTAGTCACTTTTGGCCACAGCCAGCTACCTGGAGGGAGCAAGTAGTTGGACCTGTGGGCTTTAGACCATGGTCTCAGGGGACATGCAGCTCAATTGGCATAACATACTATACAAAAACATTGTTCCACTTCCTACTTTGGTGAGTAGTGACTGGGATCTTAAAAGCTTACAGGCAGCCATCTAGATGCAATGATGGGTCTCTTCTCGTCCAGAGCAAATAAGCATGAATAAAACTAAAGATGTATGGAAACAATTAGTGGAAGGGATTGATATACCATGCATTCCTCAGCGTATATGACTATGAGACCAGATGAACTAGATGGTGCCTGGCTACTACTGTCAACCACTCAGAGGGGGATCTATGTAGGAGATCCTGGATAGAGTAGGAGTACAATGTGGAAGAAAACTTAAAATCATTAAAAAAAAAAAAAAAAAGGAACCAGGATTGTTGTTCTGATAGAGCCTGGTGGAACCCCTCAGACTATGACCCCTAGCTGCCGTTCGGGTCTGTAATTGAACCCTTTCCTGTGGCTCCCAGCCAAACAAAAGATAGGCATATAATCTGAACATTCACATTAAGTAGATACACTCTTTGGAGAGATTAATTATAGGAGTATAGAAGGGCTATTTATGCACAGGAAGATAGCTTGGGGGGGCAGGAGTGCATGGGAAGGGAGGACACAGGGAAGAGGTAACTATGGGGAGGATGTGGGGAGAGAGCTGTTGCATTTGGAGAAATTGTAGTCAGTGTCTTGAGGCAATGTGTATGTGAAATGCTGTATGGAAAGTGAATTTGCTCTGTAAAATTTCACCCAAATTGTAATAAACATTTTGAAAAAAGTATGGAAAAACTGCAAAAGGAAAACAAGGGATGGGAAGAATCAAAAGAAAGAAGAAAGAAAGGAACTAGGAAAAGGGATGTAAAAAAAAAAAAAAAATTAGAACTAGGGACTCCTGTTTCTACAAGTGTATTTGTATATTCTGTAAGAATTTCCAGGTATGTAGTAGATCTGACAAGGGACAAGGTTGTACTCACTTCTTGGCCACAGCTACCTACCTGGAAAGAACAAGTAGTTAGACCTGTGGGCTCAGGACCATGGTCACAGGGGACGTCTAGCTCAATTGGCATAACATACTACACAAAAACATCATTCCACATCCTAATTTGGTGAGTAGCATGCATGCATGCACATGCGCACGCAAACACACACACACACAAAACCCAAGAAGGAAAAAGGAGGAAGATTAAAAGAATAATTTAAAAACAAACAAAAAACTGTGGGGTCTGGGGCACACCACCCAGCAGGGCACAGACTGGGATGGAACTCCCACATGTCAAGAAGAAGGGAAGGGGAGTGGTATGGATATATCCCCGTTTACCAAGGCAGCGGACACAAGAGTAACAAGGGGAATATCGCACCTCTCCAGTTATTGTACATGTTGCCCACTCCCAGATCACAATACAGGCAAGATGCACCACCCGCACACACTCAAAACAGCTGTGTAGGCCGCTTACAAACATTCACAATGGCTGCACCTTCAGGACAGCTGCTGGCAGTGCACAGGTCCACCTGTCCCCTTCCTCACTGTTCTCCCTTCTATTGTCAGACAGCAGTGCAGTCCCTGCCCATGCAGTCCTTGGTGAATAGGGCCAATTCCTAGTTGCTGTTGGAAAATATTCAAAATGGCTGTGTCTTCAGGATAGCTGGCAGACTGCTTACTCCATTTGTCTCCTTACTCTTTCATTTAGATTCTTTTATTTGGTGTCTAATCTACTTCTTTATCCTTCCCTTCAAAGTTCAGTATTCCAAGATCATGTTCTGTATCAGTTTCAATTGGTTTCTCATTACTTTGTTGCAGAGGGTCTATGTGGCTTGTCTGCCTATTCTGATATCTTGCCAGAACCCCCAGTTTTGTGACTTTCTCTTTTGTTTTTTTTTACTCTGATTGAATAAAAAAGTGTGGGTGGGTTTTGTAAAACTTAACAGGAAAATGTATCTTTATAGGAGAATATCAGTATTCACAAGTATGTTGTTGTTGTTGTTATGTGCCGTCGAGTCAGACCTGACTCATAGCAACCCCTCCTTGGGTTTCCGAAGCAGTATCAGTACGGAAGTAGATTGCCCCATCTTCCTTCCGAGGAGTGACTGGTGGGTTTGAACCGCCAGCCTTCTGGTAAGCAGTCAAGTGCCTTAGGCACTATGCTACCAGAGCTCCTATTCACAAGTATAGGAAACTTTATAGAAAACTTTATTATGTAAATATGGATTGTTTTACTACATGATATTTGTGGTGGAAAAAAGGACCTATCACTTCATTTTTAGAATCAGCTGCTTTATTTGGTGACACTGTTTTTTTAAAATCTCGAAAGACATCCTGTTTTGTGTTAACTGACAGAAGTTGAAGAGTGTCATCAGTCAGAAAATGTACCTGAAGTGGAATCCAGTCACCTCGTAGTGGGGCAGGTGCAGCAGCAGATCCTTCGGAGCAACAGCACATCTGATATCACCGAGCAGCTGTGCTCAGATGCTTCACAGGGTATGTAATACCTTCAGTTCTTAATACATGACTTTAGATTCTGGCTGGAAATAAAGGCTGCATATAATATTGCTCTCTGCATTTATTTTAACTATATTTTATTTCAAAGGAATTTGCTCTTTAATTTGATTGCAAGGATGTGATTTCTGGCAATGGAATGTTTTCACTATTTTTATATATTTATCTGAATTGTCCAGTTCATTCAAGTTTGGATGTTTGAGGAATAGAAAGAGGTCCAGAGTGGTTAGAGTAGTAGGGAAGGTCAAATTAGGTAGAAGGCAGAGATAGGATGGGTAGAGATATATGGAGCGAGGGCTGCCAAAGGAGTGGTAAAACTTCAAAGTACCACTTATGGGAATGAGAAAGGAGAGCTGACCTGTCTTGTGAAAACTTTTTCAGTAGCTTGTATACTCTCCTTAGGTGGAAAATAACTTTTAAGAGCATTAATCGACGTAGTTTCTCCACCAACTTTCATTAACAATAGGGTATAGAAAACAAAGACAGATGGTTGGATCTGTGAGTAGTGAATGATGTATTTTATTCCAAAAACATATTTAAATTGTTTGTACTATCAATGACTATAAATCTATACCTCGCTTATTGACATGGTTAGGTTTTTATGTGTAAAGTGTCATTATGTATATCTTCAGCAACCATATATGCTCCCCAAGCTGCAGGAGGCATTTCAGAGGCAAGCTTATGGGGCTGCTCCTTCCTCTGCAGCTACCAGCAGCTGCCTTCTGCAGCTCACTCTCTTGCGTGGAGACTTCCATACTTTGGGAAGGCAAGTGGGCTTGTACCAATTCATACCACAGGCAGAGCTGATTGGGTTAGGATTTGTGGCCAGGAGGTGACAGTCCCCCGCCCCCTCTATCACCACTACCCAGGCATAGTTCTTGCTCTCCATGGAAACACCTACCCACCCAGATTACCATTAGCTGTCCCAGTGTCCCCAAGCACGTAAATGGTGGATTGGATCTCAGGTGTGTTTCAAAGTGACTGCCGTACATCCTGTGTGTACTGCTCTGCCATCATCTCACAGACTTGAGGCCCAAAGCTAAAGTTCCACTTGGCTGTGAGACAGTTACCAGCCTGTAGGCCAGCCATGATTCAGGGAGGCCTTGGTACTTGTGTACAGGTTAATCGCCTGAGGCCCCAGCATCTGCCTTTTTGTTTTGTTTTGTTTTTCCCCTCCCTTTTAACTTAATACTCATCCAGGGGGTTTGAAAAATGGTGTCTGGTCAGTAGTCCCCATACTAATTCCCTCTAGTATCTTAGTGCCTGAAAAACTAGGTGCAGCAATTTGAAATAGGGATTCTGGTGCTCTGAACAGCTCATGGAGTCAGAGTGTCCCAAACTCAAGGGAGTAGAATTAGAAAGGAGAAAGGTGCAGGGGAAAAAAAAAATAACAAAAACAAGAGAATCTACACTGTGGAGCATCGACTGACAGGAGAGAAAGGCCATTGGAGACCTCCCTGGGGAAGCACCGACCAGCAAGTGAGAAGGACCATTAAAGACCTTCCTGGGTTAGGAAAGAAGACACATCACACCAATATACTAGCACTCACCCCACGGATCTACCTTCAGCACCTGCTTTTATTGGTAATCTTGGGTCTGCTGGGTGCAAGTGGGCACTTCTAGCACCTCTGAAACCAAAGTAGAGACCATTAACACTGCTAGAGGGTGGGCCCCAGGAGGAACTCCACAGTGGATCGTGAGGACAGGCTTGGGCCAGCTTTTTGGAAGGAGGGGCTGGTGCTTGACTTTGCTGGTAATCTTGGGTCTGCTGGGTGCAAGCAGGAAGTTCCCTCACTCTAGAACCGCTGAAACCCAAGCAGAGAGACCATTGGTGCCACAAGTGCACAGACCCTGGGAGGAACTCCCGCGGCACATTGTGGAGCAGGCCAGTTGTCTTGGGTCAGCTTTTTGGCATGGAGGGGCCTCGAGAGTGGGGTCTTTGAGTGTGTGTGAGCCTGGCAGAAATTGGCGACCCCCTAACAACTGTAGTCTTTGCTGAAATTGAGCTGTGGGCCTATGAATAACAGTACAACATCATCATTAGCAGCCCACTCAAAGCCCTATTAAGTGCCCCTAGCAACTTGGAGCTTCCCTTTCTTTTCTCTTTCCCTGCCATCTTCTCTGCCTATACCCTCACTCATCTGATAGAAAAATCACATTCAGCCACCATAATACTTGCCAGTTTGAATTCTAAACCCTTTTTACAACAAACAGAGACCTACATCCACATTCCACACACCGATTCCATCATCACAAAGAAAACTGCAGAACAACCCAGCACACTTGAATTAATAACCAAAAAAATAAAATACACCAGCTCTACCTTTTCAGAATATGAAATCATAAAACCAAGACAAAACAAATCAGTACATAACAAACAATACATAAAGACAACCTCATAATGTCTAGGAAACAACAGTTAACCTCAAATCAAACAAAAAACAGGACGAGGCATTAGAAGCAAAACCACAAACAAAGGTCTCATTAAACATGGAGAGAAGAGGCAATAGAATTATCTGAGAAGGAATTTAGAAGATATGTTTATAGAGCTTCACAAGAACCTAAGGAAACCCCAAACAGAAGCAAAGAGAAAACAGACAGTTCCCTGGAAGAACTCAGGAAAATCATTCAAGAACAAAATAACAAGATTAATGCACAATCAGAACTTACACAAAAACAGCAGCTAGAAATCCAAAAGATGAACACAAAAATTATGGAATTACACAATACAGTAGAAGCCCAAAAGAATAGGATAGAACTGGCTGAAGAAAGCATATACCAACTAGAAGATAAATCCCTGGACACCAGCTTGTATGAAGAAAAATCAGAACAAAGATTTAAGAGAAATGAAGAGAAACTAAGAGTTAAATGGGACGACATGAAAAGAAACAACATATGCTTCATTGGAATTCCAGAGCAAGAAGAGATGAAAAAAGCCATCGAGAACACTGTGGAAGAACTACTGTGGTAGACTGGGTTCTCTATAGTAAAGCTTATATAGAGAGAGAGGAAGAGAAATTTAACTTAGGAAAGTGGCTCACACACTTATAGAAACTTGCAAGTCCCTAGTTCTTGGGACAAATGTCAAGCTGAAGGCTTTTCCCAACTCACACAGCTTCAGGGGCTGAAGAGCTCAAGGTTAGCAGGCAGTATATTGGCTGTTGACTCCAACAAATGATGAATCCAATATCTCCAGGCTGAATGTTTGCTCATGGACAGTTGTAGGATGCACAACAGAATCCTGATCCACAGAAGAGTGTCTCTTTTCCCAGGATGTCCATAAATATACTGGAAGCAGGTCACACACCTAGGGAAATACTGCTCAAAACATGTACATCTGATTCCATCATGGGAACAACCCACATCACAGTTGATTAAACCACACAGAATTGTGGTCCAGCCCAGTTGACACACAGCTGCAGCTATCACAGTCCACCTCTTGTTAACTTGGCATTTGTACACATCTTCTTAATCATATATAATCTCTAAGTAAGAACAGTTATAAAATCATATTTGCACCTAACATGATATGCTAACATGTGTAAAACCAAAACACATCAACATTATTTACATTTCACAGTTCATAACAGAAGGAAACAAAAATATTTGATGCACATATACAATGAAGAAATATAACAATTACAGTCCTCGTTTCTGCAACTGGTCATGTGGTCATAGCTGATATTCAGAACTACCTTCTTCCACCACCCATTCTGTATTTCCCTTGCCCTCAGCGAGAACCTCAGCTGGTCATGGTTCTTTGCTTGGTAGGGTGACCAAAACCATCATTCCTGAAGGGTCTGGGCCATTAGTGGTCATATCAGAATTGGGTTGCTGTAACTCTCCATTGACTTTAATCACAGGGCATGGTAGTACTAAGAGATGTCCTAAAGAATCTCCTGTATTCCAGACATATTCTTCTTTATCTCCATTATATAATGTCAATCCAGTTTCCCCTTGGTAATCAGGATCTATCACACCAGATAGTACAGTAATGCCCTTCTTTGTCTGTTGATCCAGAGGCATGAGGAAGACAAACTGGCCAGGTGGCATTCTTAATTTCCAGTTTAATACAATCAGTATTGTGTCTCCAGGTGGGAGTGTTCCTCCCTTTGGGACTAAGATCTCCAGACCTGCAGAGTATAGTGTAGCAGGGACAGGAAGCAAAAAATTTTTGAGTGGGTCACTAGGGGTAATTGTGAGTGGTACCACTCCAGTTTCCACCCCTTGGTTCCTGGGCCCGTGAATCGTGGTTAGTGGAGAAATAGCACCGTATATTGGATGCTGGTTTAGAGCATATACAGCCTCCTGGAGAATATTGCCCGAACACTTCAAGGTATTGCCATCTAACTGGTGCTGTAATTGTGTTTTCAGTAGGCCATTCCATCATTCTATCAAGGCAGCTACTTCAGGATGATGGGGAACATGGTGATACCAGTGAATTCCATGAGCTTAGGCCCATTGCTGCACTTCATTTGCTGTGAAGTGAGTCCCTTGATCTGAAGCAATGCTGTGTGGGATACCATGACGGTGGATAAGGCATTCTGTAAGTCCATGGATGGTATTTTGGCAGAAGTATTATGTGCAGGGAACCCAAATCCATATCTAGAATAAGTATCTATTCCAGTAAGAACAAAACACTGTACTTTCCATGATGGAAGTGGTCCAGTGTAATCAAACTGCCACCACATTGCTGGCTGATCGTACAGGCTGCTTTCCACTGAACATGTCATCCTATCCACCTGATTGTTAAAGTCCTCCTCAGCTGAGGTCACCTTTTGGTGGGCATTCACATGAGACACAAATACCTTTACTCCTTTGGCCCATTCAGAGATCTATCCACATACCTCTTCCCCATACATCCTTGTCACCAATTTTCCAATCATGCTCCTTTCCAAGTCCCAGACCATCCAGCTAAGCCATTAGCCACAGCCTGTGAATCCATATACAAACACACATCTTGACATTTCTTATTCCATGGA